AGAGAGAGAGAAAAGCAGCGATGAGGGGAGGGCCGGAGTCGCGAACCACCCCGCGAGGTGGCACTGTTGGCCCCCAGTAATGAGCAGGTTGGTCCCAGCACGATACTAATAGCATCATCATATTTGTAATAGAATGTTACCTCTTCACCCACTGGGAAGTTCTGGGAAGAACGAGAAAGCTTGAGAAATGAGTCAAGTCCAACAATGGAGATGGCTGAGGTGAGGATTGCATAAAGATTTGAACTTCTAATTTAGAAGCTGTACCTTTGTTGATGGGAAGCGCAGAATCCCATGGTTTGGGGGAGTTAAGGCCTTCGCCGGAAGTGAAATTCTGGGGCTGAGTGATGACCATATCAGAGAATGCTTTCACAGTATGATTAACAAACTCAGAGACATGTAAATTAGCCAAGCTTCCTGCCGCATTATCCACACCGTCAGAGACTTTGTCATGACAAAGATGGAGGGGCGAAAGTTTCGCCGCGAAACTAGTTTTTTTTTCTGGAAGGTTCGGACTTACGAGCGGCGCTGGGCTCACTTTCATCAGTGTCATAAAAAGAGCGACCAACCTCAGTCTTCTTCAGTAGGATATGCCTGAACGGGCACCGTTCTCCTCTGTCACAGTCACCCGTCTGGTAACAGATGCAAACACCAATGTCAGAATCCTCTCCTTTGTTGTCCTTTGATGGCTCCTCGGGAGCTTTATCGTGAGCCTACTCAAACAGCTGATTGACATCTTCAAGACCACCGAACTGCGCGGAGATATACACGGAAGGATCTAGGTCACTCTGCAAAACCTTGAAAATAGTATGACCTTGTTGATAATATCCTATTAGAGACCCACGATATTTATGATCATATATGACAGTAGCTTCAACGCTTCGTTTTTCCGCTAGGTGTATGACTTTGAATAGGAACTTGAACACAGCAAGTGAATTGACTTCTGATTTATTGCCACAGGCCATGAAAATTCCTGTGCACCATCTACAATAGCACTCAACCCACTGCGCCGAAGACGAAATTTTACGGGCTTTACCTGTGCCACTGGCAACGGTCTTACCATTATTCACGTCTTCGGCTTGCTGAATGCCTCTCCTCTCGGCAGAAGCCACGCTCGTGGTTGAGGTTGTACGTAACTAGACAAACAGCTGCATATACTCAATAGTTCGAATCGGACTCTCAGATGGAGAGTTCGTCCTACTTCGAAGCGCCTTAACAACTTCCAGGGATCCAGAACTGGGGTGTATGGATCCGGTTTTCCACCATACTGAGCCCTATTAAATGGCGGCAGTATGGCTGTTGGAGTCCGTCGGGGGAGCTGCGTTTGAGAACTTTTTCCTCTCTAATGACTATCCGAATATACTTGCTTGCACGTAAGTATCAAAGGTCGGCCAGGAACCAGAATCAAAGCTCCGCATGAGGTCCACCATTGCGGCTTGGGGACCACTGCCTTTACCAACGAGACGGATAAGGCCGGCAGAAGGGACTACGTACCGGTTTTGACCCGCGTGATCGTCGAAGTATATGACATTCAATCCTTTCCTTTGCACCCAAGAAGCCCAACGGAAGCCTCGTAAGAGCTGATCCTCCGACGGCTGGTGGCTCTCTATCTTGGAGAAGTCGCCCTTCAAGGTGAACTGCTTGACCACGTTGAAGATCTCTCCGAGCAACGCGGAGAGCGTAAACGTCGAACAAGTACCGCCTGAGAAAACGAGGAAGCTACGGGCTACTCCAAACCCCTCATGAGGAATCCTGGACTCAGAATCCATCATCGCTTACCGTTTTTGATGGAGTTATTGGTTGCCTCTAAGCAGTTTGTATTCCTGCCTATGGACTAGATCTTCGAGAGCCGTCTGGTACCAGCAGCACCGTCTATGGATCCACGACTTCGAAAAGTAGCGTGCTACTGGGCTGCTTATATCTTCCCATTTTGTAGCCCATAGTCTTGCAAGTATGGGAAAGTATTCCATACTAGGAGCAGTGGCCAGCACGAATATATCACATTTGAGCGAAGTTCGCATTCGAATCAGCTCATCCTTAGAGCCAACTTTGGACTTCAGAATTGGAGTCACTACCTTCAGGCATTGGCGCCATACATGTACTACGCAGCACAGTCTGCAAAACTTACTATCCCGCTTCTGTAGCTGGAATTTGGCATCTAGTTCTGCCGATCGAAGCTCACCGAAGGTGTTGCAAGCCGCTCGTGTGAAGCAGCTGGCACTATCGGTCAATACGCCTGCAAGAGGAAGTATGATATCGAGCTTAGTAGATCAGGCTTGGGTACTCTTAAGTGTATCTTCAACGACCATGGTGTCTCCTCTTAACGTCACCGTTGCGGTTAACGGCACGAATTTACTGGGCGGGCACACACACCCAACCAAAAGTAAAATCATTGGCGTATAACCAATGTTATGAGTAAAGTCCCCAATCGCTAAAGACGAGTCCTCGGCTTGTCTCAGCAAACTGACTGACAAAACGCGGCGAAGAAGACATGCTGGGGCTTATCCATTTCTGCTGCATCCGATCCGGCTGTAGTAATGGTCGCAGCTCCTTCCCCGTTAATTGACGACTGAGTACTAGACATAGGGTTGAAGTGGAGGTAGTAGTTAGTAGAAGATTAGTGAGTTAAGGTTGAGAGGAGTTAAAGAGACAGAGCGACACAATAGCGGAAATCGATCGTCCAATCCCTTCATGAGGGATTTCCTCATATGGGGACAGCGATTGTGCTACTATCCACGTATCAACGTGGGGTGTCGGAGGAGACGGGACAGTTGTGTTACCGAACGGGAGTTTCGCTACACGGCCTCTGAATTAGGTTCAACATCGTCTCTGGCTTGAAAGACGTCATCTTCTACGGACGTATCGGGGAGATCACAACGGTACGACAAGCAAAAAACCTCCGACTCGCATTCGGGAAAGATGCTGTGCGTCTCGAGAAATGCGCGAATTGATGCGATGTCCGAGCGCTCCGGTCTAGGCCGATCATTTCTCGCGACCAATTGTTTCCCACGGTATCTCGCGTTGTAAACCGATTTTTCCCATTGCTCATAGTCGATGTCAGGAGTCATCTTGATAAGTTTCTTCTGCAGAAGTCGCTCCACAGTTGCCCTCCCGGAATCACCGTTGACAGCAATATCAGTGATCAGGTCCTTGGCAACAGCGGATAGCATGGGTTTCCGAGGATGAGCTACCGAGGACACGGGCTTCCTCACATGTGGTAGATGGATCGGCGACCGTAGGACCGTAAAACCCACTATCACACTATGGATTCTGATGACCACACTGAATGCGCATGAATGTCACTCTTTACGTTTTGAATATCCGCACCGAAACCTTTTGACAATCTTCCCGGCTTTCGGACGAATACCGGAACCGTAGGAGTTGTTTAGAATCATAGTCCCACCAGCCAGCACATGAACTCGCTCTTGCGCAGCTTGTATTGTTGGGAAAATCTGTGGGCTCGCTAGCACATAAGTGCGGGAAGAACCCCTGCCTTGCCCTGCACTCGTAGCAGTGACACCTATGCCTTGTCCTGAACCCGTAGCAGTGAAGCCAGAGCCTTGTCCAGCAACCGAAGCAGCGAGGCCCTTGTCCCACACCCAGAGCAGTCAAGCCTGCGATTTGCACCGTACCCGTGGCAGTGAAGCATGTGCTTTGTCCTGCACCCGTATCAGTAGATGTCGTTCTCATAAAAGCAATAGCAGCCTGCAGGAGTGCAGGATCTATGGCGATGGATCCTATGTCAGAGGGAGCCATTGCACACCCCTGAATCCTAAACAAATTCAAAACAAACGAACATCAACTTCAATTGACAAAACAATACGATATTTATTTAGAGATAATCCTCATTGCATTTACTGGGTTAGTAATAGGGATATCACCGTATCATCTACAGTGTTTTATTTCCCTGTAGGTGATATAATTTTTACAGTGATACAAATAGTTAACAGATAATATACAGAAAACTAATGAGTAAAGTGTAAGTGAGTGTATTGGTATACTACTCTATACGATAGATTACTATAGAATGGCAGGTGCTACTATGAGGACTGGGTGATTATAGATAATAAACCGATCATGCTCAACTTCCTAAGAATTATTTTTTCAGTAGACAATCCGCTTCCTGATTCATATTCGTTTCATATGGCACTAAATAGTGTTTGAATTCAGTCGCTACTTCTTTTTCGATGCCCCCGACGTCTAATTAAATTCAGAATAGTGGTCCACAAACAAGTGGCCCGACGAGTAAAATGGTTGCGCGCGCGAGAAATTCTGTGGCGCGGTGAGAAATTTGGTTGCGCGCGCTGAGAAAATGCCGAATTCATCCCGAGAGCCATGAGTAAATAGCGAGCAGATCAATGAAAGATAATGCTGCATCCTTGTTGCTAATCCCGCTCTTGAATCCCTCCAATTAGGGTGGCCCGTGTTGTATTGTCAGTATGATGGAAGAAGTGTAGCGATAGTATTCACAGTCCCAATGAACTCAACTCATGTCTTCCGAGCCATGAAAACCTTGAGAAGAGCTAGCTCGATACGAACGATGATACACAGTAAATCACTGTGACAGTAATCATTCTGTCTTGAGGGCTTCAGGTTAAGGCTGTACAAAAACTTACAAAATATGTGGTCGCAGATGAATGCGAAGCAAGCGTATGAGATGATCATTGTAATGCAATTGAGATTGGTAGCGTCGGTTCTTTTCATGGTAGCCTACAAAGAAAGAGACGATCCGACATCGACACCCTGGGGACCAAACGTATCCTCATCGTCGTCGGAGAGCACAGGTTGGTAGCGTCGGCTCTTTCCTACAAGGGGAATTCCGCCGATTGTGGTAGCTAGAGGCCTAGGTAGGACTTCATCACTCTCGGCAAGGGCCGAAGTCCTTAAACCGAAAATTCCGCGGCTTCTGGTAGCTAGAGGCCTAGGTAGGACTTCATCACTCTCGGCAAGGGCCGAAGCCCTTAAACCGAAAATTCCGCGGCTTCTGGTATCTAGAGGCCTAGGTAGGACTTCATCACTCTCGGCAAGGGCCGAAGTCCTTAAACCGAAAATTCCGCGGCTTCTGGTAGCTAGAGGCCTAGATAGGACTTCATCACTCTCGGCAAGGGCCGAAGCCCTTAAACCGAAAATTCCGCGGCTTCTGGTATCTAGAGGCCTAGGTAGGACTTCATCACTCTCGGCAAGGGCCGAAGTCCTTAAACCGAAAATTCCGCGGCTTCTGGTAGCTAGAGGCCTAGATAGGACTTCATCACTCTCGGCAAGGGCCGAAGCCCTTAAACCGAAAATTCCGCGGCTTCTGGTATCTAGAGGCCTAGGTAGGACTTCATCACTCTCGGCAAGGGCCGAAGCCCCTAAACCTTGTCCCAGAACAGGGATGACCGCATTCACGAGCAGAGGCAGAAGTACATATTTCGACGCGATAGACATTAGTGGCGAATTTATCTGAGTTGAAGATCACGTGGACGGAAGGTATCTTACGCTCGGAAGTGAGAATCTATTTAGCTATTCTCAATGAATCATAGTTCCAGCAGCCTCAGGCTGCTGCAGCAGCCCCTGCTGGCAGCAGGATCAGAGCACATAATGAAATTACACGCGTAATTTACGTTAATTTATCCTCGCGTCACGTCACGCGTGGCA